ATTAATTTATGTAAATTTTTATTATTTTTTGTTTCATGTTGAAATTCTTTATACTTTATGTCCGAGATGGGCATAATTTTTTCAATCAGATTAATATGAGCCTCAATTTCTTTCAAATTAAATTTATCTGCATCAGTCAATTCATTTAAGAAGTTTCTGCTCAAACAATCAGCTATAAATAACTGTGAACCTGGTTTGTATTGTATTTCTATATCCTACCGACTGCGCCATGTTAAATGATGCACTTTATTACAATATGTACACGTTTATTTACAGATTAATTATTATTATGACCGATTAATTAGGATCACGTTTTTTTGATTAATTTTAATTATCAAGACGGAATGCTTGACCAATGACACATCAGCTGCTCTGTATCTTTTCCGAGGTTATGTTGTCTGAAATGTCAGAACAGGTTTGTTCCGTTTTCTGAATTGAACTTACCCTAACTCATTATACTACACATATTTTTGGTTAGTTTCGTTCAATAACTTTCGTTACAGTTCGTTTATTGGGCAATCCAACGACCTGTCCAAATGGCGTCTGGTTGGCAAACAATAAACAAAAAACATATGTTTTTTTTTTGGCAGGATTAAGCCTAGTACTCATAACAGCGAAATTCGCTCTTTTTTGACATTGCTTCGACAATTTGACGTTTTATACGTGAATCAAACGTCAAATTGTCGAAGCAATGTCAAAAAAGAGCGAATTTCGCGGTTATGAGTACTAGGCTTTATCAATCTGACAATTTTCTGACATCGTTGACATTTAACAACCCGTATTCTAACATCATAAAAATTTCAAAATGCCGGCTGGTTGGTAAAAGTCACGTGGTTTGGATTCCTTAATTACTGTTTATAAGTGTACTGGTTGACCACAAAGCTTTGTTTTTTGAACTCAATAATAACATAAAAGGACTAGGACGCGTTACGTGGACGGGTTAGTTTGGGTTAGTTTGCATATTTTTGGCTAGTTTCGTTACGGTTCGTTTATTACTGGTTGATAGCAAAGCGCGCGAAGCGCGCTCGTGTTTTTAAATTAAATATTAACATACAAGGACTAGGACGCATTACGTGGACGGGTTAGTTTGGGTTAGATTGCATATCTTTGGTTAGTTTCGTTACAGTTCGTTTAATACTGGTTATAAGTGTACTGGTGTACTTACAAAGCTCGTTTCTCTGAATTCAATAATATAATATAAGGAGTAGTACGCATTACGTGGACAGGTTAGTTTGCATATTTTTGGTTATTTTCGTTACGGTTCGTTTATTACTGGTTATAGGTACTGGATGATAACAGAGCGCGTGAAGTGCGCTCGGGTTTTTAAATTAAATATTACCATACAAGGACTAGGACGCATTACGTGGACAGGTTAGTTTGCATATTTTTGGTTAGTTTCGTTACAGATCATTTAATTCTGGTTATGAGTGTACTGGTTGACAACAAAGCGCGCTGATAGCCACCGATAGTGGGGAATTTTCATAGTTTATTTTCGATAGGTGGGCCATATCGTCAATTTTGAATATAATTTTCCGATGGAAAATGTGCATTTTCCGCATTTATTTATAGCTTACACGTGTTACTATTGGGACCTATAAGTTACCAGACCCATTTTATTTTTATTACCTGCATGTCGGTGAACATTTTTTTTACATGTCTTTGGGATTTTATAATGACAAACTGAAAAATAGCAGAGCAGGACTGAAGCATATTTTTATACTTTGAATAAGATACTTTTAATACCATTGCAACACAAATCTTACTTTTATAATATATGGAGAATTTTAAAAATTATATTATTTCAATTTCGACTCCAAAAAATTGAATGAGAACAATTTTTGTCCCTTTATACATACTAATGAACAAAATTGGCATCCCAAAACAGCTACTCCAAAACGTATATAACATTTATCGATCACGAAGAACATACATAAGAACAAATGACAGATTAACAGAACCCAAGGAAGCGAAAATTGGCCTACCACAGGGTAGCATATTAAGTCCTATTTTATACACAATATACACCAGCGACCTAGAAGACCTATTTACAGACAACAACATCAAACTTATTCAGTTTGCAGATGATATTTGTATATATGTTACTGTAAAAGCCCGAAATTCGGTAAAACCTAGGATAAGCGCGCTAAACCTAGGATTTACCAAAAGCAAGTGGTAAAAGCCCGAAAACTAGTTATTTTGCTTCCATTTCGGACTTTTACCGGACGCAAAGAGTAAATCTTAGGATTTACCACACCGCATTGGTAAAAGTACGAATACCACTGATACATTACAGATCGATCAAATCGATATCGTGAATCGATAATCGTTAAAATTTCAATGCTTAAAAATAAGACACTTTATAAATAAAACAAAAAGTCACACCAAAACACTTTTTATTTTAATATTCTTTGATGAAAACAGAAATCATAGTGGCCTTAACGACATATTAAAAAAAAAACATTCATTCAGGTACTAATATTTATTGTAAAAAGTAGGTATAGTATTTCCATAAAAAATGCACTGTCACTAGTCAGCCACCAGTTATGATTTATATTCACCTTGTTCCAATTGACTTTGGAAAAATTATACTTAAATATTAAAAGAAAAAATCCTTTCATTTATTAGATGAAATAAATGAATTAAAATGTCCACTAATAGAAATATTTATTTATTGATACAGGGCATTTAGAATTGCAGAATATTTTAGAGGATCTGCACGAACATTTTCGAATGCAATTGCATTTCTTAAATCCTTGGCCACTACATAACGACAATTTTCGCACTTCACTTCTTACGTTAACTTCCTGAGATGGAACATCTCAAGGACTCAAGAAATTTTCTTAACGATTATCGTTTCACGATATCGATTTCTGTAACGTATCAATGGTATTCGTACTTTTACGAATGCGGTGTGGTAAATCCTAAGATTTACTGATTGTGTTCGGTAAAAGTCCGAAATGAAAGCAAAATAACTAGTTTTCGAGCTTTTACCACTTGCTTTTGGTAAATCCTAGGTTTAGCGCGCTTATCCTAGGTTTTACCGAATTTCGGGCATTTACAGTAAAATATATACAACCAATAAAACATTAGAAAAATGCCGGGAAATCTTAGAAAGAACATATAGAAGTACACAAAAATGGTTAAGCAAAATTGGACTACAACTATCTCTGGAAAAAACAACAGGATGCAATTTTTCAAGAGCCAGAAGACAAGAAACAAACCTCATCTTACTCGGGGGAAAAACCATCCCATTACGACCTACTGTGAAGTACCTTGGATTGTACCTGGACAGGAAGTTACTATGGAAGGATCAGATAAACTACCTGATTAAAAGAACTGAAAATGGTTTAAATGTTATGCGCGCTTTCAGCAATAGAAAATGGGGTGCAGACCCAAATTTGTGCCTGTTATTTTATAAATCGTTTGTGCGAAGCAAGAGCAAGAGAACCACCATTGGAATTGAGACGACAATTTATTTCAGACAAATTTTTATTGAAGCTTTTAGCCAAAAACAGTGTATTAATAGCAAAAATTAATAATTTAACAACTCTTTGCTATACGCATAATTATTGGAGAGTTAAAAAACTGCCCAAGCTTGTGGAGAGTTATTATTGGATAACTCAACATAAAGACTATATTTTTCAAAATTGCATTCATCCATATTTCCAACTCAATGAAGCTGCCTTAGAAATTGAACCAAAAATAATAATACAAGAAGAAAATACAGAAAATATCATCTATCAAAAACATAAATTTTACGAAGAACAGAATAGTACTTGGGCAAATTTCGAACAAATTTTTACAGATGACTCAGTCATGGAAAAAAAGGTTGGCTGTACCTTTTATCATAAAAACACAAACCACTACGAGAAGTATAAAATTTCAGAACACGCATCAATATATACTGCTGAATTATGGGCTATCCGAGAATCTTTATATTATAGCTTAAAATACGACGAAAACAACAATTTTGTGATATTTCAGATAGTAAAAGCTCATTACAATCCATCAAAAATTGTTTACACAGATATCCTAATAATTACATAATCAGTGAAATAATAAACGTAATTGAACAATTGTACCGATCAAACAAACAAATTTTCTTTGTATGGGTTAAAGCTCATATAGGTATAAGGGATAACGAATTTGCCGATAAGGCAGCTAAAGAGGCCACACATAGTGGCAGAATCACTAATTTCAAAGTTCCCTATAGTGACATTATTAGTTATGCCAAGGCAAGACAAAAGTTTGATTGGCAAATTATGTATACCGAGACAAATATGGGTAAAATCTTTAAAAGTAATTTTCCAAAATTGTTCAGACATTCATGGTTTCATAGAGAGAGTAATAAAAATTTTGTAAGAACTATTTCACGTCTCAGATGCTATCACGCTTTGTATCCTGTACATATGAAAAAGATAGGGTTAGTAGAGAATGATAGATGCGACTTTGGGGAAACTGGAGATCTGGAACACTTCTTTTTAGTATGTTCTAAATTTGAAAATGAAAGAAATAGCTTATATTCAAAGTTAACAAATTTAATAGAATTGCCATTAAATTATAATACTTTGATTATATCAAACAACATTGAAGTATACAAAACTATGTATCAATATGTTAGGGAAACAAATACCAATTTGTGAAAAATTAGCTATACCTATGTAAATGCACAAAAAATACAAATACAAAAAAAAAACAAAAAAAAAAAAAATGAAAATGAAGGAAAAAAATAAAATAAAAAATATATGCATATAATAATGATAAAAAATAAAAATATACAAAAAAAAGAGAAAATTAAAGGACATGTAATGAAAACTTAAGTATAAGTATAGTTTAGATAGATTAAGTACTAGTATGTATAACAAAGAAAGGGGAACTCAAAATTTCGAAATAAACAAAGAGAGAGGCTGGCCATTTGGTTTCAACCAGAACCATAAAAAAAAAAAAAAATACAGACTAATATTACAGCGGCTTATCATTAATTATTATTTTCTTTTCAGAAAATATAATTTCTTTGATGCAATGGATCGACAAAATCAAAGGCTTTCCATTCAATTTGTGGTACGGCGACACCTACATGTACATAACAAAAGACCCCAAAGAAGTAAAAACCATTGTGAACCATCCGAAATGCGTCAACAAGGCACCACTCTACGATAAGTTTAGGTTTATTTTCGAACATTCCATTATTTTGGTGCAAGGTAAAAATATAGAATTTCCATAAACACTTTAACAATGACGTTGTTTCAGATGAAACATGGAGGAAACAACGTAAACATTTTGTAATGGGCTTCAAATCAAGCATTTTAAAGAACAACATTTACATTTACTATAATCACAGTTGCCAATTGGTTGAAGATCTAAAATCTGTTAAAATGCCTAAAGATATATTTCGGTATTGTGATAGATACGCTGTTCAAAGCTTTTTTTGTAAGTAAATAATAATATGTCCAACAAAATTTGAAATACTTTCCTAAGAAACTGTAACTATTATATAATTTTAGTAGGCAATACCGGTATAAGCCAATACCTGTCGTCGAACGAAGTGGAAAAAGTGGGCGATGTCATATTGGAGTAAGAAGATTATCACTTTATTTAAACGATTCACGATTCATTAAAATTTATTAGTATTCAAGATCTTATTAAATCGCTGGTCGTCACGCCGTTCCTCAGTCCCAAATTGTTTTTGACGTATTTTCCAGCCGGCAAAAAAGTTACCAAAATGCTACAAGAAGCCAAGGAGATTGTCAGATATGGAATTGGACACAAGAAAAATTTGCTCAAAGAACAATCCGGTAAGATATTTGAAATACCGGTACTGATTTCTGAGAGATCCTGTGTATGCAGTTGGCTTCAATTGTTTCATTAGCCAAGTCAATGTTGATTTAGCCGCGCTGGGGGCATCGTATACTTGGCAGACAAAAATGAAAAAAAAACAAAAAAAAAATGCCCAATGGTTTGGAAATCATTTGGAGATATTTGGAAAATGGTTTTAACGATTTGGAAAACAACAGATACTTAATAAAAAATTAATAAAGATTAAACGTATACTAGGCAGATTTTTCTCGAATTAAAAAAAAAAACATTTTGAAAAGGTCGGAAATGATTTGGAAATTCAGTTTATGCATGTCCCGCTATTTGGAAAACATTTTTTATCTTATTAATCGGCTTGTTCGGACTAAGTTCAGAATCAGTTCTGCAGTGCGTTCGAAATCACTCTAGTGCGCTCCGGTGAGACGCCCAGGGTGATTTCGAACGCACTCCTGAATTCAACTGCGCTTGCGCATTTGTTCTGTTGCATCTCTTGCAGACTGCAACTTGCACAGTTCCAGAATTGTGTCTTGTGATTGTTAGAGTTAGCATAAAACTTGAATTAAATACAAAATATTTTTGTATCATTTGTGTGTAGGCCAAATATTTTTAACAATATAAAGTCAGAGTTTGCAAGTTGAAATCTTGTCCAATATGGTCCAAGTGGGTTATGCATAATTTGCTGACCAAAGTACAAAACGTGCTGCCAAACCTAATTATTGATAAAAAATAACGAAACTTACTATTTGGCCATAGTTTTTGAAGGGCTTTCTGCTGGCATAAAAATATTTTCCATTGAGCCCCTAGGGGCCGTCGACTCTTAAAAAAATTGCGAAAAAAATTGCTACCAGCGCCATTTATGCACCAAAATTGACCAAGATTTATATTTGATGATAGTTTTTAAAGGTCTTTCTGCTGCCATAAAAATATTATCCATCGAGCCCCTAGGGGCCGTTCACTCTTAGCAAATTTAGGAAAAAAAGTGCTAACAGCGCTAGTTATGCACCAAAATTGACCAAACTTTATATTTGATGATAGTTTTTAAAAGTCTTTCTGCTGCCATAAAAATATTATCCATCGAGCCCCTAGGGGCCGTCAAATTTTGGTCTATTTTGGTGCATAAATAGCGCTGGCAGCACTTTTCTTCGCAATTTTTCTAAGTTGACGGCCCCTAGGGGCTCGATGGAAAATATTTTTATGGCAGCCAAAAGCCCTTCAAAAACCATGCGCAAATAGAAAGTTTCGTCAATTTCAATCAATAACTAGGTTTGGCAGCAATTTTTGTATTTTGGTCAGATTTTCTCCCGTCCAAGTGATACAAAAAGTCGTCCCAACATCAAATCAAACATTAGACAACACCTAACGGATGTTCAAAAAAAAAGGGAATCAAAGATGGCCATGAATTTTGAAACGTTGTCTTTTAGCTATATTTTTTCTTTAATTTTGTAATGTCATGTCAAAACTTAAATAAACAACATGAAAACAAAATGTCACTGTGACATAATTCAAGGGTACGGATGCGAGATACGTTTTTGCATTCAAAGCACTCTTTGATTCCGTTTTTTTTTGAATACCCGTTATCATAGGACGAAACCAAATGACACCTGAGAATTCAAACAAAAAAAGAATTATGAAAATGATGTTTCACCTGGAACTTATTTGATTCTAAAAAATATCAACCTGGATCATCCCAATGATTTCTTTAGGAAGTGTAATAAATCCTTTTACCAGTAACATAACGGGTCTTCAAAAAAAAAACCAATCGAAGAGTGCTTTGATTACGAAAACGTATGTCGCAGATTGTTTGTTTATTGGTCAGGATTTTTGACATGACCATTTTTACATTAAAGTTCATTGACAAATTAAAGAAAAATATTGCTAAGACATATGTTTAAAAATTTATAGCAATCTTTGATTGGTTTTATTTTTTGAAGACCCGTTATCATTATATATTAATGTAATAAGGTAGTTTTATTAATAGTATATTACAATCCGAGACGGAAAATACTTCATTGCTGGTCGAGAGGTTATTATAGTTTATCGAGACGCGAAGCGTCGAGATAAACTCAACCTCGAGACAGAAATGAAGTTTTCCGTCGAGGTTTGTATACTTTTTTATTTTCAACCCTTAATTTTCTGATGCAAAAACTAAAGATTCTGTTATACGAAATTTTCATATAGTGTAAAACTGGCCTTAGAAAAAAATATTTCACTTTTTTTGTCAATGTCATCAATTTTGACGATCTCAAAGGCCCTGTAAAGGCCAAAACAAAAGACGAAACCACAGGAAACCGCAAAATCAACAACCATAGATAAGATCAACAACGCCTTAACGACGGTAGTTTTCGCTCAGTATTTTTGCGGAAATAATATAGTCCAGGAGGTGGCGCCAAAAACATGCAAGAGTTTTCGCAAGGCGGATATTTTCAAAATAGGTCGTACTTTAGTGCTAGAATGCTAGTGTACAGTCAGCACTCACAGTTCCGGGACAGCTGGCTCTGGGACGCGGGCAAAGTTGTAATTTTAAGAAGCATCTAATCTGTTTTCTCAAAGCTCAAAATTTATAGAAATTTTGCACATTATCTGTTTGAAGGTCACAGATAACGTATGTAAATCGTCAGACGTCTAGTTCATTGCAAAAAGGGGGTCAGACGTCCTCAAAGTTCTTATTTTATGACATTTTCTTCGGTGTCCTGTCAAAATATATTTTTGCAGGTATTTGACAAATATATTTGAAGAAAATGCCATAAAATAAGAACTTTGAGGACGTCTGACCCCCTTTTTGCAACGAACTAGACGTCTGACGATTTACATACGTTATCTGTGACCTTCAAACAGATAATGTGCAAAATTTCTATAAATTTTGAGCTTTGAGAAAACAGTTTAGATGCTTCTTAAAATTACAACTTTGCCCGCGTCCCAGAGCCAGCTGTCCCGGAACTGTGACTGCTGACTGTACACTAGCATTCTAGCACTAAAGTACGACCTATTTTGAAAATATCCGCCTTGCGAAAACTCTTGCATGTTTTTGACGCCAGCTCCCCAACTAATAGATTTTCACTAGATTTCTCCCCGTTCTCCCCAAAGAAATGATTTCGGAAAGTGAAGATGAAGCGATGGATTGTACCCCACCTGAATTAAAAGAAGCAGCAGACAGGATTGGAGAGAGTTTGCTTCCAGCAAAAAGCAAATTTCGGTACGAAAAGGCTTTTCAAATATTCGAAGCATGGTGTAGCCAGAAAGGAACGAGAAATACTGCCTCGGAGACCGTTTTGTTGGCGTATTTTGGCGAATTATCTAAGGAAAAGAAGCCTTCGACTTTATGGTCGACTTACAGTATGTTGAAAACCATGATTAAATTGAAAGAGAAAGTTGATATCTCCAATTACGCAAAACTTATAGCTTTTTTGAAGCGGCAAAATCTGGGCTTTCAGCCGAAAAAGTCGAGCGTTTTTTCCAGAGAAAACATTAACGAGTTCCTCACGAAGGCAGCTGAAGAATTCATTAGCATCAAGGTAGGTTTTCAAAAAATATACAAAGAAGATAAAAATGCGAAAATCAAAATGATTTTCTGTATGCTATAGCTAGGTTACCCATTTTATTTTTATCTGGTTTCAGGTAGCGCTAATTGTTGGTGTGTCGGGTGCATGTAGGAGCGATGAACTAGTCAAGATGAAAATGGAGCACGTCAACGTTTTGGAAGGAAAGATCGCTATAGAAATTCCACACACAAAAACTTACACAAGTCGATCGTTTATCATAAGCGATCCAGATTGGGTTGCTATTTTCCACAAATACCTCACTTTGCGGAAAAATTTGAAAAATGACAGGTTATTTGTTCAATGGCGAAATGGGAAATTACATAACCAAGCAATTGGCTATCATTCAATCTCAAAATTTCCACATAAAATAGCTGCTTTTTTGAAGCTTCCAAAAATTGAAACTTTTACAGGGCATGCTTTTCGTCGTACTTCCGCAACCTTATTGGTTGACAACGGGGCCGATCTATTGCAACTCAAAAGACTGGGAGGGTGGAAATCGAGCACGGTTGCTGAAGGCTACATAGAGGCATCTTTGGAGAACAAAAGTAAGACTGCTCTGATGCTATCCTCTACTTCCAAAGGTATTCAGTTGTCCAGTGCATCCACAAGTACATCACATGCGGCAACTCATCCGCAAGCGCAAGAGATAATAGTTCCAAACGAAACACAATTCCAACAGGATGGTCTCAAGATTTCCATTATAAACAACAATGCTAATTTAACAATTAATGTAAATAAGTGAATAGATTTAATTAGTTCCATGTAATACATGTGGTTTTATTATTATATGTGAGAGCTGTATGAAAATTATCAATTTGGAACGAGCAGGGAAATGGGGACGGAAAAGCATTTGCCGTCCCGGACGGAAAATGCTTTTCCGTCCTAGGCAGGCATATGCATTACCGTCCCGATAAATGTCAAAGTCCAGAAATGTGACACTTTCAAGATTTTGAAAAACCTGCAATGTCAACATTACATATGTGGTTGAAAATAAAATAATATATTTGTTTTTTTCTCTTCATTTTAGTACGTAAATTGCACAGTGTGGTTTTACAAGTGTAGCCCCTTTAACATTAATAATTTTTTTGTTCAAATCATTGCAGCAAATCCATGTACCTGATGCCCTTAAACAATAAGCAACAAAATGTCCGTGATCGTGATGAACAATACCGGCAAGTCTGAAATTCAAAATATACCATTATAAATATTTTCTTATTATGTACACTCAAAATCCTTAGATAAAATTAATTCACGTACCGATATTTCATACCCATTTCCAGAAATATGGGGAAATCATTCAAGTAGCAGGACAACGTCTTCTCCATGTTAGAAGACTCTCTCACATCCAATTCTATACAGACGTGAATGTTCAGTTGATCTTCTTTTGTACGTTGTCCTGTGCACCCTGGCTGTTGACATTTGATTTTGGTACAGGGAATATC